TAATAGATGTACGAAATATTGCGAGACAAACTCCAAGTGCCTCGGTGGCCTAACAGGGAAGGCGACGGCCCGGAAAGCCGGAGATTCCAGGTTCGATTCCTGGCTGAGGAGTTTTTTTCGCAATATTTTAAAATCAATTAGGGGGGGTATTCGGGGACTATTATATATGAGATGCAAAACTAGCATCCTATATGAATTTATGAATTGAAATTTCAATTCGAAAAAACACGTGAAAAACGTGAATTTACTTATATGTGTACACACATATAAGACATATTTTCCGCAAGACATCCTGCGAAACGGCTCCATAGACTGTTTATTTATTAAGTTTAATAATTTACCATCCTTATGCTGGAGCCTGGCGCGCGTGGAACAGTTGCATCCTGGTCATGATGGTATTGTTCGTGTTGTATCAGTGCGTACAGCGTCGGGCGTTTACAAACGGTCTGTTACAAGACTTTGCGTGTTACCGATTGATACAAAAGGGTGAGCAATGGCGTAATGTTTAAGTCANGAAAATGCAGCACTGTAGATTCCTCTGTATAATTAATGTATNCGACGTCAATCAAAGTAAAGGAGCGCCGTGTAAGTTATTTTCGTTGAAAGCCGATGCTTTCAAGGGCGGCGGTATGTTAAGTATAAGTTAAGTATTTTTAGTTTCTGAAATGACCCGTGCGTCGCTTTAGGTTTCTTTGTACGTTGGAGGCGCTAGCGGCGCATGCGCGGAAGCGTGCGTGAATATAAGGAGAAATAGCAATACAGATACAGAAGAAGTGTGTGTATAAGTGTGAGCTACGTGAAATAAAAGTTTGTTTTTGGATTATCGCAGCCGCTTTATTGATATTAATGTTGGAAAGAAATAGCGTTCACATACGCGCCGCTTCCCCCCTTGCCACAAAAGGTATTTTCCGAGGGAATCTCGAAGTGTGGGCCGGTCTCAAGCGTCAGGATCCTCCAGGGCTTACGCACCGTATTACGTTTTAGTTACTTATTTCTTTTGTTTTGTATTCTTTTTTTATAATATGTAAAATTGGCGCCTCACCACCCGAGGGCTCACCCCGCCAAAGGATTTTGAGGGAGACGAATGGACAGGAAATCTAGCGAGGAATAAGGCGCAAGCCAGAACCCAGGGGATTGAGGAAGCGTTAGTGGCAACGTCCGGAGACTACGGTCCTGACTTAGTCGGCAGGCTCAACCCTTTTTGCCAGGGAGCGCAAGCGGCACGCGAACAATAGCGTCGCCAAGCGGCCGTAACCACCTGCAACTATGGACGTTGCATTTGCGAGACCCTTAGAGTTGTCGTCTTAATCGCCGATTTTGCCCGGAGTCGCGTTGTCCGGCGGAACGCTACCGGAGAGCGCTGCGCGTCTCCTCGACCCCGCGCGCTCCCTGCGGAAGTAGTTTTCTGCAAAAATAAACCATCGAAAGCTTTGTCGTCGTGAGTGGGCCGTGCATTTGCGCTATTTAACTGCCAGCATTGTAAAAAACCACCCCCAGCGATTTGGGCAGAGGAACGCGGTTCTATCGCTGTCGATGCATTGAACGTTCGACCTTGTTGAATATATCGCTTTGGCCGCGCGACGTGGTGACGTAGTTTGCTATTTTGCGTGTTTGTGTTCTGTTCATAATAACTGCTGTGTAATATCGTTTGTTGTGCTTTTCCGTATCTTTGTTTAAGCTCTCATTTATTTTTATATTTCTTTTCTTTAGTAATAATTCTGCTATATTACATCGTTTTTCTTTATTTACAACTTGTTCGCATCTGCTTTTTTTTTCTTTATTTACCCGCCTCTTATATTATATCAATAAACTTGTTACTTAAAACTTATTAGCGCCTGTTCACGCCTCTTTACCCCTTTTGCGCCCCTTTCTTTCCATCCTAGGAGGGACAGCCTGTTATTTGAAGACAATAGACTCAGCCCCTCTCAGTTTTCATAGAGCTAGTCGACCCGTTGTGTCGAGCGACGCAAATTTTGACGCGGTAACGCGTCTGGCGCCCACAACTCCACCAAAGGATCCGTCGGCTCGGCTCAGCGGTACGCTCGTGTGACCACCCCTTTTCTGTCCTGCCGATACAGACGTTCCCGATCTCGAGGACTTCCGTCCGTGTCCCGATTTTACTCTTCCGTTTCGGGCGGGAAGACGCGGGAAATTATTAATAACAACAAAAAACGTCACAGTACATTCATATGTCACATTAACCCTTTGCACTCCGTTGTCCCCATTCAGGGGACATCGTAATTCTAGCATATCACTCGGATGTCCCCTTTCAGGAGACATTCAAGTTTATTAGTGATTACAGGGAATTGAGTTATTTCAGCGCAACTTTTTGAGACATGCATGTTTCCCTGAAGATTTTTCTTGAAATGGCACAAGAAATCAAATCAAAATATTGTAAAATCGTTCGGAGTGCAAAGGGTTAATATATAATTTATAGAAACATTAATATGCCTACATTAATATGTACATTAATATGTCTATATTTAATAAAATACATTTTAATAAATAAGAGTTTTTTTTTAATTGTCTATCAATTTACAATGCTACTGTAAATATTACGTATGTTGTAAAAAAAAATTAATTCTTATAGTAAACTTATTTTTTTAAATTTATTTTATTAAATATAGACATATAAATGTTTATTATTAAGACAATACATTTAATTGAATGTGTAGTCCATTCACATTGAACAAGTCACGTTCTGATATGCGTCGTACATTTTTAGTGAAAAAAAATAAAAGACTGTGAAAAATTTATGCTTCTTTTTGACAATCACATGTAGCTAGCGATAAATTTTAGCACATTTCATTTTTATTTCTGGAGAAGCATTTTGGATTTTATGCAGTAAATACGACACCAGAGGACTTCTTAGAAACGTCGGTTTACAGGTGTCTGTCTGAAATTACTCACGACAATTATAAGATGCTCTTACAGAGATCTCATCACAGTTTTCATCGGAAAGGCATACTTTGCGTTCTATATATTTTAATATTATTTTTCTTTCTCAACACATTGTTGTGTCACTGTATGTAGAAATAAGCGATTTTATCTAATGTAAATGTATTCTTTATAAGTTTTTCCTTCATTTTTCTGTTAACTACGTGGTTCAATACAAAATGTTTCAATAAATTACTTAGCTAGCAAAATATTTTGTGTTTTATTTATTAATCTTAAATAATTTTATTCTTTGTGTAATTTTAAATTGTATTTGTGTTCAAATTTTTTTATTTATTAATTTTTGCATGAGTTTAACATTATGTATGTTTGTCCTTATATGTTTTCTTTTGCCTCACGCAGAAGATTGTCGATTTTGTTTAATGTGTATTGCTGTTTATTTCCATAATCATTTACGTATTCTATATTGTTTAACGTTTCTTGCGATTTCTTCTTTTTTCTTCAAAATACTAGTGTTAATGAAAATGATATAGTCTATTTTTCAGACTGACGCAAGTACATGACTTCTCGCCGGCGATGCAATTCACGACAAAATATATGAAGTATAATGAAGTAAGGTTAAAATTATTAATACAGTGTTTTTACTTACTTAATAAATTATCTCTTACTTTACAAACATTTCAATGTATACTTTTGTATCTTGTACAATTATAGTTTACTGCTTGTGCATCTACGTGCAATACGCACGACATAAGAAACAACGCGATATTCAATCAGTAAATTGCTCATAAAACAGCGTTGTAACTGGCTATCGCTTCACGTTTCGTGTACTCTGATTACGACATAGTGTAGCGCTTTCTACCTTGTTATTTGCGAACTACGTAATGCTGGTTTTTTTAGACACAATAATAGCTTATGATAGGATATATAAATTATTACAAGATGACTTCCTTCTTATCACTTAGATATTCAAATCATACTTTGAGTGTTTCAGTATATTTCTTTTTGTTGTACTTTTATTGCTAGATAAGTATAAATACGTAGGAAAGCGTACAAATAATTCTGCCACATGAATATATAATGAGGTTATAGAAGAAAACTGTAACAGTAAAAAGTTATGCTTATTTTCAACAATTACAAGTAACTAGCGATAAATTTTGACACATTTTATTTACTTCTGGAAAAGCATTTTGGATTTTATGTGGTAAATACGACACCAGAAGACTTCTTAAAAACGTCGGTTTACAGGTGTCTATAATCGGTATCCAGTACCTTCTTAACAAACTTTTCTAAAGATTTAACTGTATGGACTTAGGACGAGTGGTTGTTTTTTGTCCACGTCCCAATTGCCCAGAGTCCCGATTGCCAACGTTTTGATTGCCCACGTCCCCATTGCCTACGAGTTGCTTTTGCCCACGTCTCGATTCCCCAGAGTCCCGATTGCCAACGTTGCGATAGCCAACGTTGCGATTGCCCACGTACCGATTGCCAACAAGTTGCTTTTGCCCAAGTCTCAATTGCCCACGAGTTTCTTTTGCCCACAAGTTACTTTTGCCCACGTCCCGGTTGTCCACGTTCCGATTGCCCACGTTGCGATTGCCCACGTCCCGATTGCCCACGAGTTACTTTTGCCCACGCCCCGATTGCCCACCTTGCGATTGCCTACGTTGCGATTGCCCACGCTGCAATTGCCCACGTCCCAATTGCCCACAAGTTGCTTTTGCCCACGTCCCGATTGCCCACG